TTCCGAATATCGTTTTGTACACTACGCAGGTACTTTTTCTACAAATATTAATGTTTAATCTTTAGTGCAGAGATTAGCATTATAAAAATTTTAACATCAAAGTGTTATAAATAACTTGATCTCTTACCCAGAGCTCTGTCTTTTGTCATTAATTGAAGTTTCGTGTCTTTTGTTCCAGGTTTAGCAGTTTAAGGCGACACACAGTAAGACAAGATGGCAGCGTTCGTAGCCAAGCAGATGGTCGGCAACAAGCTTAGCGCCGTCAAAGGTAAGCTGTTAAATAACAAGCATATTTATACACAATAAATACTAAATTTACACGCGACAAAAATTCGAGAAAACAACTTCTGTTTAGTTACTTCTGACTGTATTGTTAAAACAATCCCTGGCCATTGTGGTCCAGGATTGAGTGAAGTAAATCAAATCTCGCGTGAATGAGGTAAATAATACTGTGTTTACGAAAAATTATTTTATATTTATTGTTATATATATAAAGCTGAAAGAAAAGCTGCAGTGTGTCGCATGTTTACAAACTCAAACATAGGAAACTCGACTTTACATTAACAATGCGCAAGAGTATAATTTATACAATTTAACATAATATAATTTAAATTTTTCCCGACATGCATGATATAAATTGCAATACGGCAAAAGTCTCCTAAATTTGAAAGAACAACGTCATTTGTTAAGTAGCCTCAGAAAACAATCTATAACCACGGAGTAAAGAAAAAATTTATTTTTCACATCTTACGCGATAACTCATTTTCCGGGCGCTCGCTATTAATTCAATGTACTCGAGCAACCTGAGCTCGACCCTCGGTGCCGGCACCATAGAAATTGTTAATTTTAAGTGCTAACTTATCACGTGCTCACCGGTGAAGGAAGACATCGTGAGGAAACCAGCACGTGTTCGAAATAATAACAAAAACAATATTACAAAGATAATTATGTAACGTCCGCTAATATACAGCGGGGTCGCGTGATGGAATATGCCCTAATACCATCTGTACATAGCTTTGCACATAGGTGTTGGACATACATGTTGATGACATAGGTGTTAGATTAGTTTTTTTACAATATTATGAAATTAAAGCTGTCTTATTAAAGCCACTACTTAAAGTAATCATAGTAAACATATAAAACATGCGGAAAAGATATTTTTTTTCAAGAAAATGTCCGTAAATCGAAACGGAATTTCGCAACGCGAATTATGGCGTGAACAATAAAAAATCCGAAGCGATCACTCGGAGATAATTGATAGAAATAAGCCGCTTAAGGCAGACAACCAAAGCTTTCCAGAGGAGCGGGCGCGGTATTAAACCCAAGACTCGGGGGAAATCAGCCACTGAGCGGCCGCAGCTCCTATTTATTGTGAGTCTTACCGCGATCCCGTCTTAATGAGATGCTCGCTAAATAAGCTCCGGACTCTAATGATGCTACTTAAATATCACCAACTTTTTTCCACTCATTAATTTGATTAATTGAGTTATTTCAGAGACTTTTATAAATCAAAGCGATCAATTTAAATTAAACTTAGGTTAAATCATATTTCACTATTGCGGAATATCTCGACGACGCCAATGTGTGGAGTTAATACTGTTGATACTCACGTAGGCCAAAATAAGACTAATGTACCTGTACTGTATGTTATATCGTAAACTGATATTTTTGAAAAACGAGTTTCTTAACGATCTCTTCTCAACCGAAACTGCTTTCCGAACCGGTGGTGCCTTACGAAACTATTTACTAATCCTTATGTAAAATACGACGTTTCACAAGAACGCGCAAGCGGCAAATTTGAATAAAGATATTTTGAATTTTTATGGCAGGTATGTTTTTCTAATCCTTAGGTATTCAATTTTACTTTTTAAATGGAATTCTTTGGTACAATACAACTATGTCTTCCAATTAGCATGTGAAAATCCAGCCATACTCAACAGTTCTTCTATACATATTAATGTGTTAGGATTACATGTATCATCCACGTCTAAGTAGCGGTCAATGTATCCCTAAGAAACAAATTATTAAAGTTGTAGATTAAACGAAATTCCTGGAAATATTAATGTAAAATGGATAATGTAACTTGTGTTTAATGAAAAAGTGCAGTATCGAAATTAAGTAAACTCAGTAAAAGCCGTTCCAAGTAGAATAACGTCTGAACTGACCCAAGTCTCAGTTGATCGTGTGCTGATTGTTCAAGATATCACGTACAAAATCGCTGCCTCACGTACGATTGTCCTCCATTAGGACGTTTATACAAGATAAAAAGCAAAAACCCATTTTTAAGATCTCAGTTCTGAGACGGGAGAGATCGGGATAAAACTAGTGTAACTTATTGAGAGATGGAATCGATTCATTCGAGAGTAATCGCTAGTTCCCAATTGCATTTAAACACAACAACTTCAACACGCATAACACCTGGGAACAGACTGGCGTAAATCAGGAGCATACCTCTTCGCACTTTTAGGCCCGCAAACCACGTCATCATCATATCAGCAGTAGGACGCCCACAGCTGAACATAGGCCTCCCATTGACTTCCACTTCGACCGGTCGGTAGCGGCTTATATCCAACGCGTCCCTACGATCTTTACTGACGTACATAATGGTATAGTCGATATCTTTGAGGAAACATTTCCTTACTTTCATGTACTTGTCACTCGTGTGTCACCTACAGTTAAAGCAATATCACATTTGCCAGCAATCGTAGATCGCTCCGCAGTCTCGACATCTATTGGCTAAATAACTAAAGAACACGCGCTTTCCTTCATAATCCCAGGTGTTTCTTAATGAGCGCGGACGCCTTGCGCCGCTTTCGACTCGTTATTTTTTTAATTAATCGAAGAAGTTTCGAGAAGCGGTCGCCGGCTGTGGGGGGAGGGGTCATGGACTCGCGTTGTCCTATATTGATTTTTTTTATTAACGAAATACAAAATAGATTCCAGATATCACCCATACATTTTCTTTTTATTTTATTCTTTACTATATTAAAATAATGGTAACTTTCTAGGAGCCGCGTACGGTGGTATATTTATACCACAATTTAATGGTCGTACCATTTATTAGTAACTTTTATCGTCCGCGGATCTTAAGAACTAACGAGGTTGACCTCGTCATTAAGAACACGGCCAGATTTGAGAGGTTCCCGTGCCGCTGTTCTTGTATGGAAGCTTAGCAACCGTCGCCCATGAACAAAACAGCGCTTCTTGCTTCCTTTTCTTTTTAATGTAAGAAGCTTTTTAATGTAAAGTGGCTAGCGAGCTGGTGATACACCTGATGTTAAGCTATTACCGCTCCCCATGGACATTTGCCACACCTTGGAGATGCGTTGCTACCTCAATAAAGTGGACTCCGCTTTCCTCACTCACCCGACGAAACGTCCACTTCCACGCCGTTCTTCTGCGAGGTCGTGGTACTTACTCGGACGAGCCTGCCCAAGCATGCAACAGCCGAAGCTGTTGCGTGGCCCTGATTTTGGGCAGTTCAGAGACATCTCCGGCATCCAAGTTCCAATGTCAGTGAGATTGATACGGAACCACTCGGGATCTGAACCGAACCCAATACGATGAACTCCGTCATCTATGAACCGATTTTAAAAATCTGAGGTGAAAAAGATAAAAAAATTTAACCGACTTGAGAACCTTAATGGCGGTCTGTTGAAGAGTTGGTCTGCCAACTTATTACATTTTCGAGTGCTTCGTACCCCAATCTGTAAGTGGTCTGAACACTTGAGAGTCCTCGTGGACATCGGCAAATCCAGTTGGTGGCTCGCGCGTTGTCTGTCATTAAGCAAGTGGCCTCCAGCAATCATTTTACATATCGACACCTCATACACACATTATTGCACAAAAAACGTATGCAAATTACCATGGCTACGTGCAATACACAACAACAAGTAAACAACTGATTCGGGCCGTTCCTTCTTATCCCTAAATCAGAACCTAAATGACACGTCAGGTCTATTGTAATTCATAATGAAATACAGTAAATTTAATCTGAATTCAAATATTATTAACAACATAGCAGGACGATGATAATGATGAGAGACCGGAGATCGCTGTACTCAATAATAGCTAAGAAAAAGCGACTACGACAAACAATTATTGTGAGATTATGGAACTGCCTTTTTTTACGGATATCCAGAACATGTACAATTTTATACATAGATATTGATATAATTATGATTGTGATATTTTTTTTATCATAGCGAAACAGAATCCAAATCAAGTTTTAAATATGTTCATAATACTAATCCATTCGTAGCAGATATTAAAGACTTTATACAAATATAAAAGAAACAAAAGTTTTTTTCGAATTGTATAATGTCCGCTTGAATAAAAATACATTTCAATTATAATAGTAAGTATTACATAGCGTTTTTTAAAAGTATAAATAAAAATTCACATCTTTCCACCCTGATCCCTACACCAATTTATTTTCAATGATAACCCAGATTTTAAGAATAATTAAACTTTTAAACCACCTTTCAACAAAACTCGGTTTTCAAGGGACAGGTGACAAGCCTAAATTCTATCGATCTATCTTATATTTCTTAAATAATATCACATTACTATATGTTATTTTATTTTATTCGTTCTTACATGTTACTACATTATTAGTTCATATCATTACTTCTTGCTGTGTATACTAACAGCCTACAACCTCACGCAGTGGGAAAAAACATACGGTCACATCCTCAGAATTGAGGGACCGAGCAAGTAGAAGAAGAAGATGCTAACGTCTCATTTCCAATTATCAATGCAAAAGAAAGACACTTAAAAGAATTCGTTACTCTTGTTACCCAAACTGTTCTTTCTAATGCATATGGAAGACAAATTGATTGTTATAAATAATATACCTATTCTAACTTATAATTTATGGGAAGACTATCAATAACTAGTAAAGCTTGTGTAACTTAATTCGATCTAGCGACTATTGTACTAAGACCCGAACCATAACGGCAATGGCTGAGGTCTTGGTACTAAGTACTTAAATATGCTTAATCCCCGCAGTCCATTGAGTACTCCTTGTTATGAAAGAGGCTGATGAGCACTCGCTGTCTCATTCCCCCGCACGGCTCCGGGCTATAGCTGTCCCCGTCGCGCTCCTTCACGTACGCCTTTTTGATCTTTTCGCTGGTGTCCGGGATTAGGATTTGCCTCCGTTTCAAGGCGCGTTTGCCCCTGTCCACCTCGTCCCTGGACACGAGCCTTTTCCGCGCCTCCTTGGGGCTGTAGTCGGACATCGGGGAGTGGAACAGTTTCTTTATGACCGGCTGCAGGCTCTTCGGCTTGCGGATCGGCGAGTCTGTGTCGACCTTGGGAGGAAAATTGCGAATTAATGAGAGCGAGAGATGAAATGAGAGATGTGTGGCTCTAACAAACGTTTCGTGTGACTCGAAGATAGAGGAAAACGACTGCATATTATTAAATACTCACGCCCGGTTTCTGAAACACTGATCATTGTAGAAATTAACTAATCAGCTGTCAAATGGCTTTTCAAATTTCATTTTAGTTGCCAATAGTTAAACTCTCTGAATTGATCAGAATGATCTTCTTAATGATCAATTCAAAGAGTTCAACCATCCTTTTGGCAACTCAAATGACATTTAAAAAGCTAAATGACGTGCCGATTGGTTAATTTCTACGATGATCAGGGTTTCAGAAAACGGGCGTTAATTTGTCTGACACTTGTTTATTGAGCAAATGTCTAGAATATTAAATAGAAACTAAATTACATGTTATGAAACAAATCTAGGACAAGCGGCATATTAATAAAAACCTTAGTTGCATTTCCTCGAAGAACAGAAGAAAAGAGACGAAGAAACAAGAAAAGAACCACTCCTCTTATTACCAGCCGCGGCGAAAACTCTAAGACGTAAATCCTGACCAGACTAAAGTTTAAACAGAAAATTGCACAAATACGTAATCTGTATGAAAATACACATTTTTGCGCCATTTAAAATACATACATAGTTCTAATTAATGAAGGTTTCTAGTACTGCAATAGTGGTATTAATTTGCTCTTAATCAGCTCTTAATGCAACAAAAGTAAAAAAAAATATATCTAAACATAAACTTCTTTAAAATTCAGAATTCTGAATAGGGTGTATAATAGAGATATGTAATAGACATGGTTAGGGTATGCCCCGTGCAAAGTTGGTCATTGTCCTTCCAGGAAGGTCTTTGCTTATTTTAGTACTAGTGACCAGCCTAAATATGGCGTATTCTGGGCAATAATTCACGTTCGTTATCACACGAATGTCTGAGAATTATATATAATATTATAATAATAATTATTCCTTTGAAGCAATTTCACAGAGATGTGCCTCCATCCTTTCGCTGCCGACAATCACCGCATTCTAACGATGACATCCGCTTAGACATTCACAATGCGTGCAACAAAGGTCTGGAATGTTTTGCCAGCGTACGACGGACAGAAGGAGCCTCGGTTAACGATGAGGGTTTATTCAATGCTATAGAAAGGTGTTTAGATAAAACTTTTAATAATAAAAACAGTGAGAAATTCTTCATGGGTGAATGTAAAGTCGATATTTTTGATAAAAACTCCAAGTGTTAATTAAATAGAAATACTGGCGACCCGTCTCGGCTTCGCACGAGTGCAATGTATTATACATATATTTACTTTTATTATACATATTCCTTCCTTTTCAATTACTCTATCTAATAAAAAAAAACCGCATCAAGATCCGTTTCGTAGTTTTAAAGATCTAAGCATACATAGGGACAGACAGACAGCGGGACGACTGTATTCATCTATCTTACGACCAGAGTCCTTCTTTTACTATAATTTATAACCGTATAAGACCATATGTAATAGCAGTGTACGAGATTCTTTTCTCCCGGGAATTGTTATATTTCGGAAAGAACCACGTCATATATGAAACACGATAGGATTGCAAATCCGGGCTCAAGACGGACGCGACAATAAAGTATCCTGCTGCCATTTCATGCTGATAATCTGTGAGAACCTCTTTTCCTCGGTCACGCCTGATCCCCTTTTTTTGCTGCCACCGCCACAGCAGTCCACAAGTGGTACACGATGCAAAATAACTGCCCATCTCTACCTGCGTCCAAATTCAATGAACATTCCGTACCCTACCTACCTGACCGGCGATAAAAACTCGAATGCGATTAGACATAATATATAAGTTTTTATTGCGGCGGATTTGAGGATAATTACCACTAGGGACATAAGTTAACAGTTTGGTGGTCTTTTGAAATACATAGGCCCGTTTGGCGCCAATTCACTCTTCTTCTTTCGTTTTTTTAACATCACTCTTACATAGACAAACATCAGAATGAAGCACTGCTATTATTGATATATGTATCACATATGCACTATGGTCCGGCCGGGTATTAATCACAATTATGGGTCGCATGGCTAGAGACTAAAAACCTATAAACGGCACCAAAGTATCAATTATAGTATATAAATGTAGGAGATGTGTGTTAGTAGATTCCTAAATGTTATGTAACAACCTAGTAGAAGTCAAGATTACCCAATCTGAATTGTAAACTTGTTCTGCATTACAGTGTAAATCTAAAAACATGCGTATAAATTTTGTAAACATAGACATGTACTTTATTGGCATAAAACGTAGCAAAAGATTTAATAATATTGGTAAAAAAAAATGTCATACATTTTTCAATGACAGTTTCTACATTTATTTCCTCTCTGACATACAAGCGTAAAATATGCCGGAGCTTGTTTATTCTTTAAATAAGGACTCAAATATCACTCGTTTTGTGATCACCCTTTGTTCTCTTCTCTTTACGGGATTTTAAGCTCTCTCTCCTGGTCAAAATTAGTTGAATAATAACTTTTAGAAGTACGAGGTCATGGATAGCGCAATCGCTGAGGTGAGGTTCCATAGGATATGGGATTGATATTTTAGACAAACTCATCATATAATAAGTGTTGATATGTCTAAGCAAATCAACTGTTTAAGTTTCGATTGTATCTTGTGCTACATTTCTTTATTGAATAATTCCCATCGAGTTTAATGCGAGTTTAATACTAAATAATTAGCATGGTACTAAAATACTTTTAAACATAAGCTTTCCATTTCGATCATCGACTCCCAGCCTGACACCACATCTGTGGTTTGTTGAAATAAAAAAGGGGCATATGTCTATTTTTTGCACACATCTCATCCCTTGGGGTAATCGGGAACATTTTGGGACATTTCGGCCTGTCCCCATCACTATTACGAAGAATTTAAAGAAATTCTTATAAAGATTATTGTAAAGACAAGTAGGTATAAGCCATTCTTTAACACTATAAGTGATTCACGGTAAAACAGATATATTTTTTTATAAATACATAGCCGTGATAGCTCAGCGTCCAGGCGCCCGCCTTTTAATTCAATATACTCGAGCAACCTGAGTTCGATCCCCGGTGCCGGGACCAATGAAGTTTTTAACTTTAAGTGCTGACTTATCCTATGTGCCCCGCGGTAAAGGAAAACATCGTGAGGAAACCTGCATATGTTCGAAATAATAAAAAAAAATATTTTTCGAAGATATTTGAAGTCCGCCAATCCGCAGTGGGGCCGCATGGTGGACTATGCCCTGATACCCTCTGTATAGAGGAGGCCTTTGCCCAGCAGTGGGACATGTATAGGCTGTTACTTTACATAGAAACATGATCGACCGAAATCACTTTTATTTAAATAATCACAAAATTATATTATGATATCGACACAGTAACTAATGTAACACCAAAAAGCCTGTTGGTTGCTGACGCGTTGTTTCGAATAACAAAGCGATTCTAAGAAGGACGACAGACAAAAATATGATCGATAGAAACTATCTATTTCATTACTGCTAAATATGAAAATTAGACCAATGATTGTTTTATATTTGTGGAGACAACCATATCGAACACATTATCGGTTCATACAAAAATAATTCAAAAATAACACAAATAAAAATCTGGCTCTTGGAATAAATTAAGATACATTTCTTCTTTATTAAAGTAACGTAATAAAAAAATCAAAAATAGTTTTATGAGCTTACCAAATCCGTGTCTGCGATAAACTCGACAGAATTGTTGAGAATGTTGTTCCTTATTAACGTTATCAAATTCTCCCTGTCCACTGTGTTCACGGGGGTCGAGTATGCACTTGCCGTGACGGCCATCTTGTCTTCTGATGTCTGTCTGAATGCAACGCAGGTTGCGCACGCCCGGACCTCTCGGAACGTGTTTGAACACTGCTGCGACTCGTTTACTAATTGAACCTGTTCGCGTCTGCATTTTTGTTGCAACCTAGTGATGTGCCGCGGTTAGTGTGAAATATTGTCGATATTTATTTATAGGGGTCGTAAAGCAATTTCAGTTATGTATCACGCATATGTATGCATATTGTGGCATGGTTAAATTAACATGTCAGTCTACTCTGGCCTGTGACTTGAAATCAAAATAGAAATGGATAAAAATCTGAATTATAGATTCATTTAACCATAATGGTATTGTTAAAAAATGTAAGTGAACTACTAGTAGTGGTAGAGCCTAACTAGTAGAGCCGTGATAGCTCAGTGTCCGGACGCTCGCCTTTAATTCGATAGACTCGAGCAACCTGAGTTCGATCCCCGGTGCCGGAACCAATGAAATTGTTAATTTCAAGTGCTGAATTATCACGTGCTCAGCGGTAAAGGAAAACATCGTAAGGAAACCTGCATATTTTCGAAATAATAATAAAAAAAATCGAGGATATGTGAAGTCTGCCAATCCGCAGTGGGCCGCGTGGTGGATTTTGCCCTGATACCCTCTGTACAGAGGAGGTCTTTGCCCAGCAGTGGGACATGTATAGGCTGATACTTTACTTTACTTTACTTTTGTAAGTGAACTATTATTTTAGCGTAAATTAATTACTATTAAATTATTTAATCTAGTCTCCTCTCGTACAAATTCAAATTAATACTTAAGTTTTGCTATTGAAGAAGTGGATGAAACTGAGGTATGGATTATTTTGAAGTTCCCAATACCAAACATTTATATATAATATGTTTTTATGACAATTATGGTCAGTGGTCAAACTTTACAGTAACGATAACTAGAACGACGAATCGCATTTTTAGATTAACTCTTGGTTATTAAGTTAACATTCTGTCACTTTCTTAACATGTGTCAATATTGTATCAACAAAGGGATGTCTTTAACAGTGGAATGCCAAAAACTGAACCCAAGATGAAGGAGATGAAGCATCTCATATAAATGTCACATAATGAGAAGGTGGTAATCGAGGTTGGCGGCTAACCAAAAAATCCAAATCAATATCAAAAATATATTTATTCACATAAACGCTTGAGCGTTCTTATGAAATGTCAAAATTGAACATAAAAATACGTTCGTAAGTTACCATCTGATGTTAAATGATAAAACCATTGACATAAAGTTGGCCTCGGCTACCTCATTCACCAAACGAAATGCAGAATAACACTTCCACTTCAAGCCGAATTCTGTGAGGTCTGTGAATCGTACTTACCCTGACAGAGCTGCCAATACGTGCAACAAAGAAGTCTGTTGCGTGCTCCTGCCACCGTTTACTTACCACCATATAATCTATATCATTATATGTACGTATTTTAACTCATCATTTCATCATTTTGTATAACAATCATTTTGTATTGTAACTCATCTAAAACGTCATAGTCATTCGAATTACCTAAAAAATCACCACATGTCTTTGTTGGGTCGTGTCACATTTAAGTCCCATAACGTGACAAGTGTCGAGCTTGTCGCCGGACACCGGGAATATATTCCAGAAGAGGCGTACACTAAAACTTTGTTATTGATATTAATTATTCACGTTTTAAATGAAAATCCGTCTCGTTTAATGCGTACTTTGTTAAAATACAATTATATTTTTATGAATAACTAATGATGTTTCACTCGTGTTTACGAAAAAGTACTAATTTTTTTCTATTTAACACAAATTTCTTCAACAGAAACAGAAAAAATAATAATTCAATTACTCGTTTTATTAATTTAATTAATACATTTTTAACTTAAAATAAAATTATAATCATGCTAATGCAATTATAGAAAGTAAGTCAGGGTTTATTAATCTTAAAATAAAGCACAGGTCGTCTAAAGCCTACTAATATTACATTAGTTTTATTATAAATCTACATCTGTCATATATTCCTTAGCTTCAAAAGGTCCTTCTTTATGAAGTTGGAACCCGAGAATCTTCTAGTCCTGAACCTCAACTCATCTAAAACGCCATAGTCATTCGAATTACCTAAAAAATCACCACATGTCTTTCTTCCGTTTTCTTTTGTTACATTTTCGTGCGTCCCAGCATTATGAAATTTATTTTTAAAATCCATAACAACTTCGCTACTACGACCCGTCATTTTATCTTCGATAAAACTCATTGATTTATTAACATCGCTAGGATCGGTTGTAACCATTACTTTAGCGATGCTCCTAGAATCATTACGACCGCTTCTAGCAACCAATTTCCTATCAGCGTTACACTGAACTTCAAATTTGTTTAGTTCATCAGCGGAATTGTTGATATAATCGTTTCTCTTCATAATCTCCAGCGTCGTTGCATAATTTGCTTCTAATTCTATGTCGGCTTGGATGATCTTTCTCTTTATGTAAGAGCCAACATTACCCACTGTGTTCGCTAGGCCGCACCTCTCCGTGTGTTCTCTAAACTCCTTTAAGAATCTCTCCAAAGTCTTCATGTGAGTCTTGCAATAGCTCCGAATCATCTTGCTGGCCTCCACTATCTCGCTTCTGGACGTGCCACTCCTTTGGGCGATCCTGTCAAACTCGCCCAGTCTGAGAATTTTGGCATCGTGGGAATGGTTCTCATTTTTTGGGATCTGGGTGTCACTGTACAAGTTTGGGAAGTTTCGCATTAGATAAGAGGATTTCGGTGGTGGGTTTGAAAAGAGATGGAATTCGTGGTGTCTGCTGGACGCGCGGTACTCGCTGGATAACTTCTCTTCCTGAAATTAGAAATAAAATCGATTTGAATTTCGAATTCCTAACAAGTTTCAGGCTTATTATTAATTTTTTTTATATTTACTCTTCGAACTTATACTTTTAATGTTCCAAAGGACTTTCCTGATTCTGAATATTTAAACTTTTTACTTTTAATGATTAAAATAATAAAAATTTATCTTTGTGATTATTAAAATCTATATTAATCACTATTTTCTTTTTTGAAATCGTCTTACTCAAAATAATAACAGATAGTACTTTCGTTACATAGTTAACTTTGTAGATTTTAAGCTTAAATTTATAGATTTTAAGCCTTAGTACCGACTACTTTCACTCACTGGAAATTTTGCCGAATGTTCCTTGCTTCGATTTTCGTCATATTATCGTTTTGCTTAAAAGTATTATTGAAACTTAAAATAATCTAAATCTGCATTGATAAATAAGGCCCGCTGGCATCTTTTCCGTCGAATAATTTGTAGTTCTGTGGCCGGGCGTTAGTTCTATTTTATTCAATATAACTCGAGCCGGATTTAAAATCAAGTTGTTTATGTTGGAAGATTGCAAGCGAGCTGGTGGTACACCTGATATGAAGTGATAACAACCGCCCATGGACATTTTCAGTACCCTTGAAATTGCAAATGTGTTGCCACGTTTTAATAGTGGGCCCCGGCTACCTCACTTACCGTAGCACAGAAGTATAACTCTTACACTTTACGCCGGTCTTCTGTGAGGTCATGGTACTTCCCCGGATGGCCCCTATTCGTGCAACAGCGAAGACTAGTACATGGCCCTGACCACAGTTAAAGTTGAGTAAAAAACCGACACCAATTAAACTGTTCATTACAATAATTTCAAGTGCTGCCTTATCAGCGGTGAAGAGAAACCTTCACATTTTCGAAATAATAACAAAAACAATACGTTAGGTCTGCCAATAAGTAATGGGTTCGCGTGTTAGACTATGAAAAAATCGCTTTGCACAGAGTAGGCATTTGAAAGAAAAAAGACACGTTTTTGTATGTATGGATGGATGTATGTTACTCTTTCACGCAAATACTACTGAATGGATTTTAATGAATCTTTACAATCATATAGCTTATACATTAGCATAAGACATAAGCTATTATTTATTTACATATTTTTGTATATCTGTCTTTCTGTCTGAATGTTACACCTTCAGCCTATTTTACGCAGCGCGGGAAGCCGCTAGTAAAATAATATTTCCGTTTCAAATACGGGCTGTAAATTCGCCTTTTACTGAGCTTACTCACCAACGCTTCCAAATGGTGGAAGTAGTTGCAGACGTCCTTGAACCTGTTCTTCTGGCCGCAGTACATCCAAACCACGAAAGCGCGGCGCACCGTCACGTTGCTGTACGCGACAGAAGGCTGCTCCAGAAGACCGTGGGTTTTGTCCTCCTTCGACTCCGGGATCGGTGCCGGGTAGTTCATCGTGTCTAGAATCGTATACAGAAATTGTTGAATAATAACAAACAGACCAACGAAAATCTCAATGTAGTTCATCCATTTTTTCGCATCCTATATTAGAGTTACCAGAGCTACCGTCGTGAGTCTTACCAGTTTTCAGTTTTTTTTTTTATGTGAGTAAGTGGCAAACGATCTGGCGGTTCACCTGATGTTAAGTGACAACCGCCACCCAAGGACATTTGCAACACCCGTAGGGTTGCAAATGCGTTGCCACCTTTTAATAAAGTGAGCCCCGGCTACTTCACTCACGAGACGAAACACAGAAGCGTACTGCTTCTACTTCACGAGGTCTTCTGTTAGGTCGTAGTACTAACTAGGACGGACCTGCCCATTCGTGCAACAGTGAATACTGATGTGTGGTCCTACCACAGTTAATAACTAATTATAGTAACTTACCGTCCGTGCTGGTACCAATGAAATTACCAATTTTAAGCGCTGACTTATCACGTGTTCAATGGTGAGCGAAAACATTGCGAAAACAACCTGCATATTTTTTAAGTAATAACAAAAAATTTTTTCGAAGATATGTGAAATCCGCCAATCCGCAGTGAGGCCGCGAGGTAGAGTTTGTCTAAAACCCTGTGTACAGAGGCAGCCTTTGCCCAGCTGTGGGACATATGTATAGGCTGTTACTTTACTTTTTTAGGTAGAAGAAGATATATCTTTAACGTTGTATTCTTAACTAGTACGGATAAAATACTTAATCTTTCAGGGATATCTTCTAAGACGTCATTGATTGATAACCGTTATCTAATGTTAAGCTCTTAATATAAACGTGAGTTAGCTAGCGGAGATCGACAATTAAGCCTTGAGAAAATGAAAGTTAAATATCATGTTTTAATTTTAATACGATTAACAGAGAATTGAACTGACGGGAAAACGTGTTCGCAGAATTAAAGTAATTTATTTAAGAAATAAACAATTTATTAAGACAAAACAAAGTAACCTATATACACGACACACATTTTAAACAATAAAAAAACATGAAATATAAATAAATGTTTTCAATATGTTCTACCCGCTAAACTTACGCAATTAATAATTAAAACGTGAAGACTTTAGAAATTACGATTTCATAAGACCTGAAGAGTATTAAATTGAGTCACTCACCACAATAGTCAAACACGCATAGCACGATACAATTAAAACTGTAACGCGTATCATTAACGTTAATGATGAGTTATGACCTTATAATTAAACTTCGGGCGCGCCGCGTGTGCCCTCGGGTTTGATTGATTGGGCCAAATGGCAGTTTTCGACGTACAGCCGAACTACCCTCTTGTTTTTGACATTTCCACGGTGCGTTCAACACTTCTTCGGGTAATTTGCAACACTGACGCCCGGCTTCTGAAACACTGATCATCGTAGATGTTAACTAATCAGCTGTCAAATGGCTTCTCAAATTTTAATTGAGTTGCCAAAAGGATGGTTAAACTCTTGGAATTGACCAGAATGATCCTCTCAATGATCAGAATGGAAAACGGAATCACAAAAAAAAAAAACAACTTCGTTATAAATTATTTATTACTTTTCCAATCACAATGAGAAATTACATTAGGTAAAACATACACAATTTCTTACAAAAAAAAACATATTGGTTAAAAACATAATGATTTCAATGAATCAAACTCTTTTACTATTTAGACTGTGGTATGTTTTTATCGGGTGCTATCTACCCTTGACAAAGTAATAATAAATTCAAATTAATAATAAAAAGAAAATAAAATAAGAATCTAAGCATTTTATTTAATTTTTTTTTTGTAATTTTCATATTCAAAATGATGCTTTGGTTATACGGTAATTTAAATAGTAAAAAACCCATTTTACCAAACTTTCTCTTATATCCTTATGCTTTGTAAATTTTATATTTTTTTTTTAAATTTCTTTTCTCTTATATATATTTCCTTAGCATTGCACGTAGCATTTTGCACGCAATGATATAAAACATACAGATGTATATTTATAGCAACGATGACATATTAATGAACAAATCATGAAATAAAAGGATCTTTAAAATTAAAGTTTAGGATTAATTCCATTACATTCTTTATATTCACTATATAATATATAGTAAGCAGCCTGTGTATTTTACATTTTAATAGGACTTAAAAAAAGATGACAGCCGATGTTGATATACACGAGGCTCTTTGATTCTACTGATACTCGTAATGTAAGATGGCGGTCATCCAACAAACGGAAAATCTGTTGAGGTCTGTATACACTTTAGGCCTCAAGTGTTTGATAAAAATTCTGTACGTAGCTATGTTACAAAACGCGAATCACTACTCGTTAAAAATCGTACACTTTATAGAATATTTTATTTTTATCATATAACGATTTAAGTCTTCAAAATATAGCTAATATTGTAATAGGCGCGTGAAAAGTCGCCTAAACCATTTTTAATGATACATACAAAAGTGTAATGTATGCTTGAGCCTTGTTACCGTGAGGCAATTTCTTGAGTATGCGAAAATAGTTTCGGAATACAAAAATCCAAGTTTATCTCTCTCTGCCCGCTGTTAACTGAATTTGAGCACTTAGGTACACTGAAGTAAGTCCAAACGTTATCAGCGTTATCAATAACAACTGAAACATACCACTAACGAATCTGTCACGAATTATTTAAATTAACCTTTATGATGATAATTAAACAATATTTAAGAAAGCATAATTAAAATTATGCTATTTAACGATCATTAACATAATTATTACGAGATTCATTTGTATTAAAAATGTTATTGTCTCCCATATTATATTCCTAGCCCTGCTAACAGCGTCTCGAAGCCACAACATTGTAAGAATATTACTTTCACAAGTTACCTTTATTAAAATAATACGTAATAATTTGAAATTAAAATTTAGAGAATCGATGACTTGTAAGTTTTATTTGAAAGCATCGTAAACTATTCATCAAGCTTGCTTTTAAAACTATCTCAATTAAGATTTATGTGAGATTAAAAAAATAGTACGTCGCTGGAACAACTACGACTGTTACCAAAACAATTACAATACAATGTATTCAAATAACATAAAGCTGTTATAATAAAGATAAGACAAAAATATCCTTCACAGACAACAAAAAAAAATATTGTCCTGTGATACAAATGATATCCATTGACAGAATATCACGTCTGGAACGTAACCATTCACTTTACCGTGAATCAAACTGCACAACCCCCTTAATCCTATTTCTAGATCAAAATATTCATAATCGATATATTATTTTGAAAGTTACGATCTTTTGGGTAATCTTTAGTCTTTTATCTCACTCTAGAAATAAGTGTATTCGTAGGATTTCTTCGGTTTAACTTTGAACGCGGCGGCCAATTTACTAGACATGTAAGACACGTTGGTCTGGGCCGAAGAACGTGACAAGGTAGGTTTCCTAAAGCTGCGAAAGAACGCATCCACGCCGCTGACATTTCCCAGCAGCTCCAGCGAGTGTTTCTTTCCGTCCCACGCAGACTTCAACCCTGACCAGTTGAAGGCCTGGTCGATCAGGTCATCGTCGTAGCGATTGTACTCCGGTACGTAGGGCGGTGCGCTGGGGGTGACCGACCTCACCCACGCTTCTACGTCCTTAGTCGACTTGTCAGGTATAGACTTCTCGGGCTCTGTGGCCTTCTTCACTTCGTCCCATTCGGGTTTGGGTAGGAGATCGGCGGATGGCGCCTCTTTGGCTGGATCCTGCTTGCTGTGTGATGATTTGCAGCTCGCTTGGCTGTTTCTCCCGCTGTCGGAGAGTGTCGGCTTGGGTTCCGAGCAGCTGCATTTAAGCTGTTTGCAGTTAGTGCAGTCGTTTCTTTCGAAGTCCTCAAGCATCGCTATCAGCTCTCGCCTTATGCATTGCAGGTTCAGCTCCTGGAAAAAGACTTGGAAACTTACCATCTCACGACAGCCCCCAAGCTGTCGTGAGATGGTAAGTTGAGCGCTTTTGTTTTCGCAAAGAAAGGTTAAAGTGCATTGATAATTTTGTAAGAAAATATTGGTGTTATTTTTACAGAGATTAATTTTACGCAAAATTGTTCTATTTGAAATTGTGTTGTCCTATTTGTTTTGTTACGTAAGCCACGTTAAAAAAAAATAGAGTGCCACATTGGATAGACAGAAATAGTTAATAAGGTACTTTTAAGAAGCTAGAAAAAGAAGAAGTTACAAAAATTACTATACATGATATGGATAAATATTGAAGGATACATAATATGGATGTATTGTATAGTAAAACATGTTTCTTTTATTTCATCTTCCTAATGTCCAGATAAATTATTATTTGAATCTAATTATTAAACATAAAAAAAGACAAGTGGAGTTGCTCGAACTAAGCAATAATGCGCAATTAAATAAGGCTTTAGTGGAATTAAATTAATAGAAGATGACCCAATTGGCGTGGTGGGTAGTGCTCCTGTCCCTTGCGCCAGAGGATATGGGTTCGATCCCACTACTGGAAAAATATTGTGTAATGAATATGGTGTTTTTCCAGGCCATGGGTATTTATATATTTGTAATATGTATATATTTACAAATGAAAAGTATTTTAAGTATGTTTATCAGTTATCTAGTACGTATAGTATAAGCGTGGCTTAGTTTGGGACTAGAGGACGTTATGTAAATATTAATTTATAAAAATCAATAATATTTTTCATTATATTGTAAGTAATGTACACTAAATACTATAATTGCTAATGACCGCTTAATGAATAGGTATTACTGCATGTCTTTATCGTTCTTTACAAATTGTTATATCCACTCCATTCAAAATAACATTGATAAGAGTTGATCATGAGTAAAATACAGCGCCATCTATGATGTAAGATTAAAATTAAACAATTGGATTATTCAGTCAATCAAAATCACCAGTCCAGGCCTTACAAATGTACGTGTATGCTGAATTACAATTTTCGAGTTGCAATTTAATTACATAAACACTTTTTAAACTATTGCCAGTAAAAAAAATAGATGAAAAATGGTAGTAGCGTGAACCATGAAAATATAAAATGTTTTGAAAGTTAATTGATAACTATGATCTTATGGACACATACAGTTTATTAAATAGATTATTATTAACTTAACTAATGTAATAACACTTCTCCCACCGTTAATTTATCATTTAGTGCCAATACACGACATAATTAATGTTCAAAAATAAGGTAAAAGTAAGTTTACATCATATCACATACATCAAAATAACCGAAAACGGGTGTTGTCCTTCTAGAAAAGATCTATTCATATACTAAGCATTTAATATTTAAGCATTTCTACTGTTACAATAAATATGCACGATCAACAGAATTACCTTCTTATATAAGTAACTAGCGACCCGCCTCGGCTTCGCACGGGTGCAATGTATTATACATATAAACCTTCCTCTTGAATCACTATCTAGTAAAAACAACCGCAATATCCGTTGCGTAGTTTTAAAGATCTAAGCATACATAGAGCAGACAGACGGCGGGACGACTTTGTTTTATAACTACGTAGTGATAACAGCGTGGGAGACTTGTATGACTCAAAAAATAATATAAACTTCAACAGATGTTTTTTAAGGGAAATCAAACCGAATCGAATTCCCGTCAAATAATCAAACGTTTATCTTGGTACGTTACTTACACACATATTAAAGAAACTTTTAAGCGCTATAATAGATAGTTTTTACCATTAGCGAACTAGTGCTTAAATAATCTGTCAATGCTACCAAGAGTCCGCGTCCGCGTGGAATTTAAAATAAAAAAACGTCTTAAATAAAAGTAGATAACCTAAGTTACTCCTTATTACATCAGCTATCTGCCAGTCAAAAAATCAAAAAAAAATCAAAATCATTTATTCATCGACATAAGAAACTTACATTTCATTTATCAATAGTCATATTTTTTTTTTTAAATCTACCACCGTTTCGTAATGAGGTTCCTCTAGCGGAGAAGAAACAGGCGAAAGAAACTCCGTAGGTATCCTCTTTTTTGTAATTATTTTTTTTCTTAACAAAAAATTCAAAAATTATACAACTGATTTTTTTCCTTTTAGAAATAGCTTGGGAGCGATCAACTCATTCCCAGGGGTTATTGTCATTAATGTATTCATTTGTATTATAATAACCCTTTTTATAAAGTTTTTCTTTAATAAATTTCTTAAACCTGTTAATAGGCAGGTTTTGCGCATTTACTGGGATTTTGTTGTAAAAGCGTATACACCGCCCCATAACGAGTTACTTACTCTATGGAGTCTAGTAACCTGTGACCAGTGAAAGTCCCGTCCAAATCGGTCCAGCCGTTTCAGAGATTAGCCGGAACAGACAGACAGACAAAAATTGTAAAAAATGTTATTTTGGTATATGTACCGTGTATTCATCCATATGCGTTTAGTAAAATTTGGTTATTTTAATATTACAAACAGACACTCCAATTTTATTTATCTAAAACATGCTGTACCGGCAAAGTCTTATCGTTTTAAGATTGTTATCAGACAAAGTTACGAAATGGCCAAATAATGACATAAGTATTTAATAGCATATTTCTTATATTTGAAATGTCAATAATAAATTCACAAACATTATTACGGATAGGCACAAAATATTCTAAAACCGCTCGTACCTTCCTAATTATATATAAATATTTGTATATAATATATGTAAATATTTGGTACAATTTTGTAATAATCCTTCAACAAGAAAAAAGCGTATACACCGAACGAGTTACTTTCTCTATGGAGTCTAGTAACCTTGACAGTGAAACCCGTAAATCGGTCCAGCCGTTTCAGAGATTAGCCGGAACAGACAGACAGACAAAAATTGTAAAAAATGTTATTTTGGTATATGTACCGTGTATTCATCCATATGCGTTTAGTAAAATTTGGTTATTTTAATATTACAAACAGACACTCCAATTTTATTTATCTAAAACATGCTGTACCGGCAAAGTCTTATCGTTTTAAGATTGTTATCAGACAAAGTTACGAAATGGCCAAATAATGACATAAGTATTTAATAGCATATTTCTTATATTTGAAATGTCAATAATAAATTCACAAACATTATTACGGATAGGCACAAAATATTCTAAAACCGCTCGTACCTTCCTAATTATATATAAATATTTGTATATAATATATGTAAATATTTGGTACAATTTTGTAATAATCCTTCAACATGAATGAACATTTCAAATGAATATTACAATGATAACTCACCAACTGATAACTGCTGTCTGTGTAGTAGTAGTTGTCGACTTTGAACATTATCGGCGGCAGTCGGCTGTTTGGAGCGAACGAACTAGCCGGGTTTGAACCTAGGACAACGCTAAAAGCCTAACTGGACATTAAAGGAGCACCCGGGAGAACTAGCCCAGCACGCCACCCCCTCGCGGTTCGCGGGTAACTGAGAAACAACTGATTTTTTAATACCTGCATTCGGTGATTAGGTTAAAACACGAAATGTACCTGATAATCGACACATGCCGCTTTGCACTCTATCATCTATGGCATAGAGGCGAGATTCAATGGGACGCTCGAACAGCTGTTTACGACGCCAAAACGTAGTAAATGATCAAATAAACAATAACAATTGTTTCGAAAGCTTTGTCCTTCTTCCTCTTAAACGAAAGAGAGAAATGGCTGTACAATAGTAATATGAGTTCGTGGAAATTCGCGAGGATTATCCATTACTTAATTGGTGTAGTTAAAATAGTTTCGAGAAGTTATTTATATTTCTCGCCATTAGCTAAACGCCTTGTTATCAGTAACTTTCTAATTTTTTTAACAAGAACTTTCACTGCCTTTGGTGGCAAATATGGGTCTTTATGTGCTTATAGGTTCTGATGCATATTATTATTTGTTGCTATATGTTATTCCGGTATCGTTCTTAACACGATTTTTGGTTAAAATTCCACGTACAAGAACGATTTTCGTATTGAAAACTGGTAACACCCACGGCCGGTATTATCATCCGGTAAGATACGAAAAAAATTCGATAAACTGAGTTGAGATTTTCGTGGGTGTGACATTCTATCATTTAGCTTAGTTTTTTAGACGTGGGTTCGATTCCCACAGCGGCGAATTACTTTCCCTCCATTTTTTCTAAGACTTTTCATGTTTCGTCTTAATTTCAGAGATTAGCACTATAAAACTTTAAGAATTTCTAATAACAATGGCGCTATCTTTAAATGTTATAAATATTTCTGGTATATAAAGGACGAAAAATGTATGTGCCAAGCATTGATTAAATTACGAAAAAAACAATGCACATGAATAAAGTACGTTGCGACCGTTAGGGTAGCATTCGGCCGTTTAGTTAGCCTAGTGATTAAAGCGTCTTTGTGCGAACGGTCTTAAATTGTCAGAACTGCATTACATCCATCTTACAGAATTTAAGTAATCTTCTTATCCTTTAAACGAGCAATTTTTGTATATATATATATATATATATATATATATATATATATAATCGGAATCTCGGAAACGGCTGCAGCGATTTTCATGAATTTTAGTATATGCGTAGATTCGAGGGCGAAAAATCGATCTAGCTAGGTTTCATTTTCAGAAAATGTCCTTTTATCCCTGTTTTCAGGGAATGAAAAATATTATTCGAATACGACGATAAATTTCACCGAAAAAAAAAAATGTTATAACAGCTCGGTCGGTAATCGGGCGGCCGCTAATAAACAGCCACGAAACAGAAGGCCGTGGTTCGTATCACGATCAATTACACATTTTTTTTTTTACTTTTTTTTCGATTCCAGATCATTGCTTTCTTTATTTTTAATTTTTTGTCGATTTGTTATTTTGTTCTTTTTTTTCCCTTTTTTTTTTTAAGTTCGTTCTTTTGTGAAAAACATCAGTTCATATTTTCTTATTATTACGTCGGTAAGATCGAAAAATATTATGCATATTTCATTACTCAGTACTTTGTATCTAAATGTAATTTCCAGAACACACGATTTACCAAAAAAAAAACAAACCGAGCAAAGCTCGGTCCTCCAGGTACTTATCCTTTAAACGAGCAATTCTTGTGTATATATATATATATATATATATATATATATATATATATATATATATATAATCGGAATCTTGGAAACGGCTCCAGCGATTTTCATGAAATTTAGAATATGCGTAGATCCGGGGGCGAAAAACCGATCTGGATAGGTTTCATTTTAAAAAATGTCGTTTTATCCCAGTTTTCAGGGAATGAAAAATATCATTCGAATACGACGGTAAATTTCACCTATAAAAAATGTTATTATGTTAAAATGTTATTATGTTGTAATAGCTCGGTCGGTAAATGGGCGGCCCCGAACCAGAAGGCCGTGGTTCGTGTCACGATCATTTACACATTTTTCATTTTTTTCTAATTGAAAAACATCAGTTCATATTTTCTTATTATTACGTCGGTAAGATCGAAAAATATTGTGCATATTTCATTACTCAGTAATTTGTATCTAAATATAATTTCCAAAATACACGACTTACCAAAAACCGAGCAAAGCTCGGTTCTCCAGGTACTATTTCTTTACATGTTTATCAGATCACAACTGAGCACTACTCCAACATTTCAACTTTTTTTTCTTTTATGTGAAAAGTTGCCAAACGAGCAGACGGTTCACCTGATGGTAAGTGAATACCGCCGCCCATGGATATCTGCCACTACCGAGGGTTACAGATGCGTTGACAATTTTTTGAAAATTGGGCTCCGGCTACCTCACTCACCAGACGAAACGCGAAAGTATTATACTCCCACTTGACGCCGGTCTTCTGTGAGGTCGTGGTACTTACCCGGATGAGCCTGCCCATTCGTGCAACAGCTGAGGCTGCTGCGTGGCCCTACCACCGTATAGCAATAAAAAATCGCATTGATTCACACTAAAGTACTCGAGTAATAAAATCAAAAGGCCGGTACTGAATTACTATGGCCATTTTCATTAAAATTTATATTTTTTTTATTCATTCCTCTAATTCAACCCGAATCGGTGACCATAATTAAACGTCTCAACGATACAGTGCTATTTGTTAGTTATAATCTGAATGTTACAATGTATAATGGTTATTTATTTTAATTTTATTTGCAATTTATGTACACAGAGAATATGAAATAAATGTCAATTACATGAGACGATTTGTCCAAAGGCCCTGCTTATTTCTTAAGAAATTTCTACCAGCAGGCCTGTGATTGGAAACTGGTCACGAACGGTTGTTAATGGTGTACATACAAAAATTTTAATACACGTTTATGCAATGGTTACTTAATGTCTATAAATCTAAATTGCTTAGCCCCACACCTGCAGAATAGAATAAGTACTATTACTAACTAATAGAATTAGTCTTAATGTTGCAGACGTAAGTTTAGTATGTCTATTTGTTCTAAGTTTATATAGTAAGAAATGTTTTAATCGTATCACACGACATGTGACGCTGTGTCGCAATTATAAAACTTAACAAATAAAGAGTAGACTTCCTTGATGCACTTGACATTTTAAAAGACCTCCATGAAGCTATTTAGAATATAAAGCAGCAACTGATGGATTTTTCCATAAATCAACTTATCTCCTCAGTGAGTTAGATCATGAAAAAAATCACATGAACACAACAATACAATACAATATTAATGTTATAGTTTAAGTTGTGTTATAGTTATAGTTGAACCTTAATCATTCAAATCGTTGCCACTAAAATAGTACGTAATTTTTTTTCTTTGTTATAGTTAGTAAAAGTATATTAATAGTTCACCTCGCTTGAATTGGGTCTCTGTCTATACTAAGAATCTTTTAAATCCTATATGAATCGAGCGCCATCTACAAATTGCAAGTTGAACTTATACGAAAACTGCAAATAAAATTTAATAAATAGCTTGCATTGGGATATTTACTGGTTTTTAATTTATTTTCATAATTTTTTTTATGTGAGAAGTTGCCAAGCGCCTATTTTAAGTGAATACCTACGCCCATGGACATCTGCTACACCCGCGGGTTCCAGATGCGTTGACAGCCTTTTGAAAATTGGGCTCCGGCCACCTCACTCACCAGACGAAACGCAAAAGTATTATACTTCCACTTTACGCCAGTCTTCTGTGAGGTCGTGGTACTTACCCAAACGAACCTGCCCATTCGTGCAACAGCCGAGGATGCCGCGTGAAAAATACGAAAAGTTCTTCGCCGCTTTGGGAGTCGAACCCACGTCTTCGATATTCGCGTCTAAACGCTTTAGCCACTAAGCTAAACGGCTGATTGCCAATCTGACGAAAATCTCAACGTGTTATATCTACATTGTTTTTTTTAGCATTGGAAGCAAAGCTTGATAGTTTTTAGCATTGAAGAATGCTTACATAAAATTTTGCTTGCTCTTATTGAAAAGTGTGATGTCTTTACTTACTTTATTTAATCTCCATTTTCACTTTGTTTCAGGTAATTATTATCACCATGGAAGCGATATGTATGTGTAAGATGTTGGTTACGTTTAAATCTTATATTTGGTCATTTAGTCGATTTACGGTAGCGGAAAAAACCCGTTCTGAATAAGTCATAACTCTATAAATTCGCAACATACGAAAAGATCAAAGCATAGTCACTCCAAGAGTCATAAGATTCATTGTTTTTAGTTTATCATAACACTACCTCTATCTTTCCAACCGACTTCAAGAAAAGTTTCTCAGTTCGGTTGTATTTCTTTTATGTTCGTTATCTCAGAACTGCGTCATTTATTTAACGATTATTTTTCTTGCCTTCGGTTTAGCTTCCGTGTGGTATTTATATAGACCTTAGACTCCAAAATGCATCAAGAAACTCTTCAAAATTGAATAGGAAATGTATAATGTCTGATATATTTTCGGTTTTGTTTTTTGTTAATAAAAATGTATACGTATAGAGCTGGACGAACATGTGGCAATAGGCGATTCACGGACACTAATTAAAATATTGACCTCCCGTTATTTGCAAAGGTATTTCTTCTTTTCTCTCGGACCGCATTAACTGAGGTAGTGCCACGCAAGAGTCTTCTCTGTTGCAGGAATGGGCAGGCCCGTCCGGGGAAGTACCACGACCTCACAGAAGACTGGCGTGAAGTGGAAGTAGGGAGCCGGGGCCCATCCTTAATAAAACGTGACAACGCATTTTGCAACGATACGGCTGTTGCAAATGTCAATGAGCGGTGATCATCACTTAACATCAGGTGAACCGCCAGCTCGTTTGCCACTTTCTCACATAAAAAAGGAATACCTTCAATAACGAGGATTAGCTTAGCTCTTCCACAGACTAAATATAATTTACGTAATCACGTCTACTGACTAACAGTGTACTATATTATTATTATATGTCGATAATTTTTATTCCATATTCATCGCGGGCAATTTTGTTCTAGAAAATGACTAATGTTATAACATGTCACAAGTTAATTGGCTCCCTAAAAGTTACATCACCCGACGGGACACGCAAATGACACGAGGCTTAGTCGTCACCGAGAGGCGAGTTGCTTGATGAAAAAATACTTCAGACATGGCTTTATGGCCTAAATTGCTTGTTCCTTCAAAATGGTGTGTATTTTAAGAAAGTAACTTGCGTTCATAAAATCCGCTCTTTACATCCGACTTCAAAAAAGAAGGAGATTCTCAATTCTACTATATTATTATTTTTTATGTTTCTACGTATTTTTTTTTATGTTTCTTACCTCAGAACTTTCGACTGAGTAAAGCGATTTTGATTATTCTTTTTTATTTGAAGCTAGTGCTTCCCAGTTGGTCCCATATTCATTTCACTGGTATTGTACCTTGGGCTCCGGTGATATTAGAAGTCAGTTTTGTTTTTCGTTAGTAAATAAATTGAATTGTCGTTTACTCATTATTAAATTAACGACTTTGTGAAATGTGTTCCTAAATAATCAAAGCTCTTTTCATTCAATGCAATATTAATTTTAACCCATAAACACGTTTTACTGTGGTACGGCCACACTGCAGCCTCTGCCACGAATGCGCAAACTCGTCTGGGTAAGTACCACGACATTTCAGAAGACCGGCGTGTAGTGCAAGTGTTATATGTCTATTGGTTGCGGTAATCACTTAACATGACATAAATAAACAAACATCATGTGAACAGACTGCTCGCTTATTTATTTTTCACATAAGAAAAATATTCATTTTATATGAATGTATACATAAATCAATCAGAACTAATTAATAACTGAACAATCAGCTCAGTGTTCGAGCGCATTATTTCAATGTAGGTACCTATACCCAAATATACAGTATCCGATCTCTAGATTTTAATTCAATATACTCAAGCAGCCTGAGTTCAAAGCCGGTGCCAGCACCAATGACTTGTTAATTTATGTGCTGAATTATCACGTGCTCAGCTGAGTAGGAAAACATTGAAGGGAAACCTGCGTATTTTCGAAATAATAAAAAAATATATTTTGAAGATATGTCAAGTCTGCTAATCCGCATGCGCTGAAACCCTCGTTACAGAGGAGGCCTTTGCCCAACAGTGGGACTTGTAAAAGCTGCTATTTTACTTTACTTTTACGAGTTTTTGTGAAGATATGTCAGATTTAGATATATTTTTCCAAAGTTTCCAAGATAGACAAAATTACCTTATTTTTGGCTTTCAAAGAGTTCATTAATGTATGCCAGTTGAACTACAATTGCTTCATTTTTAGTCCATAGTCCGGACGCTGACATTTCACTCACAAGAATATCGCCCAGAGTAAAGACATAACTAGAGGCTGGAGATAACAAACAAACGCGAGGCTGTGTAAAGAATACACTGTGATGTCGTTAGTTGGTTACCGCTAAACGCCAAAACAGCACATCCGCTCCCAGAATGCCAACGCGTATCGCCTCGGAAATTACTCGTATAGAAATTGTATCTCGCGTCGCGATAGAATTATCCTAATTCGCTCCCCACACCGATGTCGTATACACGAGCGTCACTCACGCGTAATTTTAGGGATGCGACGTGAATACTTATCGATGTTCTGTTGCGTTTCAATTTTTTCTATTTACCAACGTAAAATAAAAAGGCCACTACAATGCGGTAACACGATGTGCTGCACACATTTATAAATGGTACTTGACATTGTGAACCGTGATAACTCAGTGTCCGGGTGCTTGACTTTAGTTCAATTTAATCGAGCAACCTGAATTCGATTTCCGATGCCGGCACCAATGATATTGTTAATTTTAAGTGCTGACTTATCACGTGCTCAGCGGCGAAGAAAACATGATAAGGAAATCTGAATATAATAATGACAAAAAAGTATTTTGAAGATATAGTCGCCTCGGCATCGAGCCCACGTCTTCCGGAATCGCGCCTAGACGCTTTACCACTACTCTAAACGGCTGATTGCCACGGTTACGATATCTCAATGTATAGTAAGTAAAATAAATACTATTTTTTTTTTCGATTTTCGCGGCGGCGAAAAATCTTTTCATCCATTTTTCTACAGTTTTATGTTTCTTCTTAAAATTAGCACTATAAAAATTTTAAATAACAATTCAAGTAACCAATTCAAAATGTATTTATTCAAATAAACGCTTGCACGTTCATATGAAACGTCGAAGTTAACATAAATAATTAATACATAAGTTCGTAAGCAAGTTACCACCGGTTCGTGAGGCAGTTTCTGTTGAGAAGAGACCGGCAAATAACTCAACAGTTGCTCCTTTTTTAATACATACACTATTAAATACAAATCTGGATGAGATAACAAAATAGTTTTTGATATGATGTGATATGTCATACCATTTTTATAAAATTACTAGCTGACTCGGCAAACGTTGTTTTGCCATATAAATTAGTTGTAGGGTAGAAAAAAATATTTTGGGTGGACCACCCTTAACATTTAGGGGGATGATAAATAGATCCGATTATCCGATCCTGTTCTCCACCCTGGCCGATATGCACACAAAATTTCACGAAAATCGGTCGAGCCGTTTTTATAAAATTACTAGGAGTTCAATTAGAAAACATTTCGGGGGATGATAAATAGATCCGATTATCCGATTTTATATATTACATGTAATGATGCATATCACATAAAAATATTATAAAAATACGTTATGTGGCCACATTGTGCGTCATAGTCATTTTCATCTCAAACCTGGTCTACAACTAAGGCACTAGCTGTTTTATTCAAATGATATCCCGAAGATCCGAAGACAGTCACAATCTGAAGTGTTTCGCTGGAAGCATGTAAGCGCCGCTTTGACAAAGCTATCTGGAACAGCGACGCTTACAATTAATTTTATTGTATAATTACGAACTGGTGTTATCTTATTAAGTGTATTCCTACTAAGCTACTAAGTATTAATAATAGTTTAAATAGAAGTTTGTTTTGCGCATGTTGGGATAGGGCAGTGACAGAGAGACGTTCGTACAGAATGACCATCTTTATTCAAGTAAGGTACACTGTGAAACAGTTGCCATTTATATACCCTCAATGGAGGAAGTACAGATCAGTTGAAATGTATTAAGTATCATAATGAGGTACAGACTACATGGAATGTATAGAGTATTTTTGTAATATTCCAACAGCGCAGATGCTAATTAGATTCCGTCGCCGTAGGTAGTACTTTAATTTACCACCGAGGATAAGTTCTTAAGTGTCTAAATCTTAATGATCGTTCCAAATCTAGTCTTTTACAGTTGTCTGTACACAGTTCGTGTTTGCAAAACGTCTTTTGGTAATGCCACATACGTATATTAAAATCGACTTAATACCTTATATTCATTTATATGTTAAATCAATCATCAGCGAATAAAACTCATGTATTGGCTATAATAAATGTTACATAATAAACTTATTAAGTAATCGTTTTACACGAATGTAACAAAGATAACAGAATCCATACTAAGAAAGGGCTAGTGAATTATGTCAACATAAGTGACGACAGCAGAAAAATAACAACCCTTTGGCTGTGGCGGAAACTAACCATAGCGTATTCTTCAACTTAAGTAATATTCATGAAACACAAAATGGAATTATTTAACACTTTTTATTACAATCATTACTTTTCAGCCGAATTTAAAAAGGACGAAGATTTGGCTGTACTTTTTTATTTTTTTTGTTACGTCAGAACTCCGTGGTTTATAAACTGATTTTAAAAATTACTTTGCATTGGGTTCGGCTAGGCATCCATATTAATTTCATTGCTATTGAGACTTGAAATTCGGAGACAACAAGAAACTCCTCAAAATCAAGTAGAAAATGTATAGTGTGTTACTCGAAGTCGGTTTTGTTCGATGTTAGTAATTCTTTTTTACTTCTTTCATGATGGTACTTTCTTAAATTCATCTTTCCTCCCTTCGTTCGTCATAACACTAATATGTGTTACCCTTTCTATACTAAACAACTATCAGATAGCCCGCCTCTTTAACTCTCTACTTAGTCCAAACTGTCTACGTGGGCGATCAATTGAATTTCGCTGCATCTTTAATGCCGCTCAAAATCGCCCGATCTGCTCAATAACTCGGCGAATTATAACCCACTTTTCTCCCGCCGAATGCGGCCCCGCCGGATTCCCAACGCTCATTGTTCTAAAGATCGCGCCATTGAATACCCATCTATGCGGGAAAGAATCCGCCCGGGTTTAATATGCGGCGCGGTCGCACGGCAAATATCGGAGGCGGGCCGGATAGGAACGCGCGGCATTTCGCCGGCTTTAAGGCGTACCGTTTTAAGGACGTGCCCCGGTTATCGATATGTCGACGGGGTGTCGAACACGGCGCGTGACTATGGCCCGCTAATGCAGTCGTCGACAATTGCCACCGATGATTGATGTCGATATTCTAATTTCTTTTACGACTTTGAACAAAAAAAGAAGAAAGGTCGCATAAAAAACTGAAGCCGCACAAAGCTGGTAAGTGTGCAGGTCCACTGCTTCTCTTGTTTCGACATTTTCTTTTCTGTACAAATAAATAACGCTTTAGTATTGGGTTTCCACAAGTAGCCTATTTAAGCCGCATTTAAACTTGATCTTGAGTACTCATTAGCACTTCAAAATTCCTATATTTCCAAGGTAAAGGAGACACCTATCCTTTTATAATTGTACAATATTAGCTGAGTAAACAGTTATGTTAACTTTGCATAAAATGCAAAATCAAAGTTATACATAGACAACATAGTGAAAATTCACGTAAGCATCATTCGTCGGTCGCAGCTGAGGTGTGAGACAACATTTAGTTTATTTAAATTATTTGGAACTTAGTAATGTGTTGGATACTTGCTTTGTTTTCGATTAAAGGTGGACTTTTCATTAAAGTAATAAATTACTCGTCCACAGTCCTTCAAAAAAGGCGGCAAAGACCTAGTGGCTGATGTCTATGTCTATTCCGAAAGATTTAATATAATAGAATTGAAAGATCCTTATACAATCCTTTATTCTGCTTCAGCGGGTCAAGAATCCATTATGTGTTCTAGAAGCTATCGCAAATGATATCGGGGTCAATTGAAGTGCGTACGCTACGTGGAGTGGGGGTGGGCCCGCATTCCGCCACGTCTACTGCGCCCTTGCCGCAAGCCGCTCTTTAAAATCTTATGAACTATAAAGCCGTCGTAAAACTATTTCACGACCAGACATACCGATGTTGTTCTACGGTACTACGTTCGATGAATAATATTTTTTGTGCTACAATTGAGCGTCGTAGGGCCTGACTCATGCAAACAACTTAAAATTAACTGCATTGCAGACTCTCTTTAGTTCAACTGAGCTAGGAATATTAAGCGGCAAAAAACGTTTAAGGTCGAAAGGGCACCGATGAATGAAGTTCTTTTTATAATATGTCCCGAGCTCAGTTGCTCTTGGCATAGGCCTCTTGTCACTCCAGTGAAGTCCAGCCGTGAGTTTCAGATCATCTTCCCATCTTGTTTTCTGGCGTCCTCTGCTTCTCCTGCCGTCTCTGGAATACCAGTTTGTAACAATTTTACACCATTTCTCTTGGGAGTCGCGTAACATATGACCTGTCCATCTCCACTTTTGTTGGTCTATCTGGGTTAATATATCAATAACTTTGGTTTTGGCTCTTATTATGCTACATCTCACTTTGTCTTGTTTCTTTGTTCCTGTTAAGCTTCTCTCCATGGCTCTCTGGCATCGTTTCAACTTTTCTCGGTGGTGTTCAGTGAGTGCCCAGGTTTCGCACCATAGGTAATAACTGGAAGTATGCATGTGTTGAAGACTTTCCTTTTTATTTGCAAACTTAGTTCCTTGGATTTCAAGACTTCTTTCAAAGACCAATTTTTTTTTCCATCCGTTTCCTATTCTTCGCTCAATTTCTTTAGTGGTTTGATCTTTGTGAGATATTATCTGTCCTAAATAGTTGTAGTCAGGCACATATTCAAGTGGTTGGTTGTCGATTTTTATTGTTACTTGTTCAGAGTTTGTTAGTAATTTCGTCTTGTCTTTGTTCATGCATAAGCCTACTTTTAAACTCTCTTTATTAAGTGATTCTAGCATTTTATTTAGGTGCGTCGGGTTTTCTTCAAATAATACTATATCGTCCGCAAATCGTAAGTGGTTCAGTTTTACACCTTGTATGTTGAGGCCATATTCATTTCAATCTAGTTTACGAAATATACTTTCCAGGGCAGCCGAGAACAACTTTGGTGAAAGAGGGTCTCCCTGTCTTACTCCCCTTTCGATTTTGAACTTTTTGCCTAAGGTTTCTAGCTGGATCCTTGCTTCGCCGTTTAAGTAGATGTTTTTTATAATATTGATGTAATTTAAGGGTATCCCTTGCTGTTCTAGGCTATCCCATATGGCTGTGTGACTTATGCAGTCGAAAGCTTTGGAGTAGTCGATGAATGCCATATAAAGTTTCTTGTTATATTCATTATATTTTTCTACTATTTGTTTCTCTGTGTGTATGTGGTCTAGAGTGGAGAATTTTTGTCTGAAGCCAGCTTGCTCCCGTGGTTGATTTTCATCTAGTTGTTTGCTTATTCTTTCCAGGATAACTTTGGAGAATACCTTGTATACATTTGACATCAGACTTATAGGTCTGTAATTCCCTATATCTTCCTTTTGTCCTTTCTTGAATATAAGGATTATGTTTGATGTTTTCCATTGTGTAGGGATTAAACCAGTCGATAGTATTTCGTTGAATAGTGAAGTGAGTATTGGTAATAGTTCCTCAAGGGTGCCTTTAAGAAGTTCATTTGTCACTTTGTCTGGGCCTGGAGTTTTTTCCATCTTCTGGCTAGATACAGCTTTTTCTATTTCTCTACTAAACAAAACATTATTGGACTGGAATTCGGACCGGTGGATTGAAGAGTACACTGATAATATAATAACTTAGCAGCAATAAAATAAGACATTTTAATACTGTCCAAGAGACTATTAGCATTATTTTTCGCAAAGCAAAGTTGATAACAAATATAGTTTCATTTTTTTTTATTGAAATCTATTATGGAATCATAACGTAAGTTATTTTAAGTATCGAAGAAGCTTTATAAAGTTTAGCGAAAGCCCCATTCGATGAAGATAAAGATGAGGATAAAATTCCGCGAAACGGAACGGAGGGAGAGAGAAAAACCCGTCGTCGCGATGCGGCTACGTGGACTCTACGTCGCCGTAGCAACGGCACGTAGAGCCGCTCGTTACGCGCCGCTACGATGCCTCTATCGATATCGAGCCTACGTCATGCTTTCATATTCGCGGGTTTTGTCACGCGTCGATAGTTATTTATCATGCAAATACTACGACGTAGAAATTGTTACAGTTTTATTATTGATACTTTACATTATTTACTATACTCTTACAAAATGCTTTTGTCTGATATAATATCCTTATTTTACCTTTGATTAAGGTCAGATTTGGATTACATAAATATACTTTTATAGCCTCATTTGTACCATTTATTATATTCGACATAGAAAAACCTGAAAGTAAAACTTATTATAACATAACTTTCTCTTCTCATATTGTACGTTTTAGTTTCTGTATCATAAGGATTTCGGAGAACTATATAACGATTAATGAAATATTTTTACATTGAGATAAACGAAAAGAATTTTATAAGAAATTACATATTGTTGAATCGTGTCTCAAAATCATGCCGTTAAAAAGCTATGCGTGAGAGGGTTTTACAGTATTTTTAGCATTAATATCAGGCATTAATTTCAAGATTCGATATGCGTTACGCATATTACGAAATATTGGTGCTATAAAATTCAGTAATAGCTATAGAAAAAAATCATCCCATCACTCCAAGGTACGTGACTTTAAATCACTACATGGTACTGAGAACGTGGCACAGCCTACGCAAAGCTCAATCAGTGCAGCCTGTTAATCGATTGTCAATTTGATCCGCGGCGGAATTAACGCGAAACAATCGCCCGGATAACCTGGCGCGGTAAATCAGCATATCCGGCCCGCGCGCGACATTATCCGTTCGCGGGGCGTGAATTATACGCCCTATATCCACCGTAAGCCCGCTTTACGGTCCCGGGATCGGCCGCGTATAAATTTTTATATCGCACCGGATATCGGTCGGGATATCGGATACGAGGAACGTCCGGATGTGTCGCGATAGTTTTCTACGCCGCACCTCGTTCGCTCCAATATCGTCTCCGACGTTTCGTAACGGCCGCGCCATTGACGGCCGTAAAATAGAGTTCCCTTTTATACGGCTGTCGAGATATATGTTATAGAACAGCGAAATTGCTGCCATTCGGAAACTAATAATTCAAAGAGGAATTCGCAGTTTCTTGATTCAATTCATGCTTGTTTCAAACAATAGTGAAACTCGAATGGAAGTCTGGTCATACATTATATTGTAGCGTTATTATTTTACACACAATTTACATAAAACCATCACATCAGTAACTTACGAAACCCTTATTTATTCTTTTTAGAGCTGTGATACATCAGTGTCTCGCTTTCATTTCTATATACTCGAGTGAACTGAGTTCAAATCCGGCTACCAATAAAATTGTTAATTTTAAGTGTTAACTTATCACGTGTGTTATGCTATGGAGTGAAGAAAAAAATCGTGTGGAAACCTGCATATTCTCTAAATAATAACAAACAGTTGTTTATGTTATGTTGTTATTGTTAACATATGTTTTTTTTTTTAAAGAAAACTGAGAAAAATAAGAATTATTTTTTTGAAAACGCAATAAGTTAATCCATTTATGTACGAAAACAGTAATGTAAAGTACTTACTTTTCACTAAGTATAATATCGGCTTATGTGTTTCATAACATATATATTAATACAGCTATATCGTACATGGAGTGTAGATTAAATTTCAACATTTCCGACTTCCGTTTCTCGGACTGTTTAATGAAAAAATTCCACGCGTTATAAATGTTATGTTGGAATTTCTCGCTGGAATATTTCGTTATAGATACAAGTATCAATTTATTGGCGTGTCGAAAGTGAAATACAGTCTTAATTATTCAATGCATAAGTCGTCTATCCTCATTTCTTTTGTATTAAAACAAACGATATACAACACATTTTACTGTTGAAAAGTAAACTAATACTAATTTCGCTTTAATAAGAGATTATTTTTTTTTTCAATACAACTAAATAGCAGAATTATTATATATATAGCAATTACACTTTAATTGAACAGTTCACAACATCCATTAATGTTCGACTAATGCAATATAATCTGTCAAATCCCTAAGGATATCGTCCATGAAGTCAGTGATAACTTAGTTTTTTTTAGCTTAGGTTTTTTACACTATTGAAAAGCCATGTTATTCAGAAGTATATTCAATAAAGTTTTATAACTAATTTCGATTTTTGAACCTATGGTAGTGTCTTAACGTTCATTAAGAGCTTAAAACAAGCCTATATCGATTACAAGACTGGTAGAACCACGTACAGCTTCAGCTATCACACGAATGGGCCTGCTTCTCCAAAAAAGAACAGGCCAAGTGCGAGTTGGACTCGCCTCGAAGGGCTACCTATAAAAACAGGAAAAAATCATGTCTGTTATACGGGAGCCCCCACTTAAATATTTTTATTCTGTTAGTAGTATTTAGAACCGTGATAGCTCAGTGTCCGGGCGCTCGCCTTTAATTCAATTTACTCGAGCACTTGAGTTCGATCCCGGTGCCAGCACCAATGAAATTGTTAATTTTAAGTGCTGTCTTATCACGTGCTCGGCGATGAAGGAAAACATCGTGATGAAACCTGCATATTTTCGAAGTAATAACAAAGAAAAAATATTTCGAAAATATGTGAAGTCCACCAATCCGCAGTGGGGCCGCGTGGTGGACTATGCCCTGATACCCTCTTTACAGAGGAGGCCTTTGCCCAGCAGTGGGACATTTGTAGGCTGTTACTTTACTTTACTTTTTTAGTAGTATTTGTTGTTATAGCGGCAACAGAAATATATAATATGTGAAAATTTGAACTGTCTAACTAACACGGTTCGTGAGATACTACAGTCTGGTGACAGACAGACAGCGGAGTCCTAGTAAAAGGGTCCCGTTTTACCCTTTGGGTATCGAACCTTAAAAATTGACCACGCCCTTAGAAAAAAATTAGACGTCACACCCGGTGTCACCTCAAGCCGATATGACAACGTGGCCGTATTTTTCAATCGCCTCGCACGAACAGAAAGCCATTGTCTCTGCCGGTCCAATTTCGAACGGATCGGGGCTAAGCGCCCGCCATTACGGGGCAATTGCATCCCCCGGGGCTGGTGCGTCGATTTGCATTTCGCACCCCATTAGCCGTTGCTATGGCGACGCGGCTACGGTAACCACCCTTTTACAAGGGCGTTAAGGAGCCTTTCCAACACTCGTTCGGTTCACGTTTGAATAAATATGTCAATTTATTATCTTTAATAAGCTCAGTAATTCTTGCTTTTCATTTCTTTTAATTTAACGTCCATTTTAGGGTTCCAAACGGTAAAACGGGTAGTACTCAATACTATAATTGTCGCCGTATTTTTATTTACAGATTATCGGTAAAATTTACTTTCTAGTATAGTTTAGCTAAGCATAGTGTAGTTTAATTAGTCTAACTAAATATTAAACACTAGAGTAATGGAGTAGAAAACAAAATGTTTCGTTGTAACTTAATTCACATTGCGTTATATTAAAATGGATTTATAAACATTCAATTGCCTTAAAGTCATGTTCGTCTTCACTGAAGTAATCATGACTTTGTGGCCGGTACGTCGTCTCACGAAATTTGGTTGAGGGTTCGAATCCTTATAAAAAGGTTGTGTTCGAATGCTTATAAGGAGCTTGAATTTTGCTTCTTGAAATTGACAAAATAAGACTGCTTTACCTGTTACTGATCTATCCGGAATATGTTTGTTTAACAACGAGAAAATAGCTGTCTCGTTATAAATAAATATCGTGTTAAATACGCTACACGACAGTGAATAAATTGTTGCCCGATACTAGGGCTGATACGCCTTTTCCTTTCTTATAATTTAAAACGACTTTATTCTTAAATGAAAGTCTAATCTACTTTCATTTAAGTCATGATTTAAAAATTAAAAATGAAGGACTCCAGAAACAACTAGCTAAAAATAATAATTTCAAACAAAGCCCTAACCGAAAATTGACTTTCGGAAGTCATCATTAACACGTATGGAAACTTATTTACGGAATAACAAAAGGTGAGCAAGTGTTGAACTGATCTCTGTTCATGGAAATCCGTAACAGAAATTGGTTTCAATTATTTGGGCCTCCGATAACCTCACCTACTGAAAGCTAAAAGTATAGTTAAAGGTATAACCGTAGTACCGTGGAGAACCTTCAATACGGCAGCTTCAAATTTCCCAAAATATCGGCAACGTATCCGCGAATACTTTGCTATTGCGGACATCAGTGGGTAGCATTTACTTGTCAGATGACGTGTTTACTCATTGCCATTGCCACTTTGAAAATGAGTGTAGTCGGCAGCCCTGGCCGGGTCGCCGGAGCGGGGCGCCTGCGACCGGCCGATATCGCGCCCGAACGCACCGCCACCCCTTTATTTATGTGGCGCGTCGGCCCGCCGATACGCGACGATCGCTTTGTTCCAAACTATACTTTATCGTTAGCCGCTTGGTTAGCAATTTTTTGTTCAGAAAGTGACGAGCGAGTTGGCGGCTCACCTGATGTTTAATGGGCCATCATTGACATTGGACCCCCCATGGACATTTGCTACACTCTTGTAAGGGTGTAGCTACCTTGTAATAATGTAGGCCATGGTCACATCACTCACTAGACGCAGACGTGTAACGCTTATATATCACGCCGGTCTCCTGTGAGGTCGTGTTATTTACCCGGACGGATGTGCCCATTCGTGCAACAGCGAAAACTGTTGCGTGGCCCTACCACAGTAACATAAGTTTCTACCTCCGCCTTCAATTCTACAACAACTAATCAATGGACTCATCCTTTTTCATGGAAAAGGTATTAAAGAAAAAGCGACTCACTTTGTCAAACTCCACTTGTCGTACAAACATATCAAACGTAGTAACGAAAATAAATTAAAACGTAGTAAATTAAACGAAAAAGTAGAAGTTTTGATTTTCTTTTGAAATTTCGTTTTTCTGTTCGATTTAACCAAACACAATTGCTGGTAGAACATTGTCGTTATTTATTATATTATATCGTTTGAATAGTATGGTATTACATTATTAATCTGCAAGCATGGAGGTATTATCCATAATGTTTGCTGTTAATGTGTTAGATGGTTAGACACTATTAAATTTGTCAAGAGTTATGATCCGTTTTGTTTCTACCATAAAATATCAGAGCATACCGTAAGATTGACACATTATCAAAGTACTTCAGTAACACCTTTCGATAGTAGACATTATTAAATCTTTGTTTAAATTAAACAAAGAATTAGAAATATCCATAACCTTCAGCAACGATATATTCGACTTTAATGCTAACCGACAAATATTTGGACAATTTTTTTGAAAACACGACTGGTTCTTTTCTCGATGGTAAAGCATAACATAACCATTCAGTAAGGAAGTGCATCTAGCGTCCTTGGCACCATGCTGCGTAAACTAGGCTTATTAGATGATATGGGATTAAGTTCGATTTAATGTTGTAAATATTAGATATAATTACTGTGCAGTTTTTTTTATACATTTTTATTTTCTTAATATGATTAATATCGGAACACATAAACCTGCAGCGTTACGCTCAACTTACGTCCGCGTTACACACAGTACGAACGGGACGAACGCGCTCTAGAGCACACACAATCAAACGATGAACTTAAGCGAGGCGTCCGTTCAATTCACCGAACAAAGGCGTCTGTGCACTCGGCGAGATATGAATATCCAGGCGAAAGAGGCCAATTATGAGCGAAAGAGGCCTCGCGGCCGCGTCAAACGCAGGCCGCCTCTTGCCGCGAGGCGGAAATTGCCGCCGCCATCTTGCCTGCGGACCGGAAGCGCGCCAAATTATCGCGGCAATGCGGTCCGCACAGCCGTCGAGGGCCTCTACATTGATTGCGCGAGGTTTTTAATCGACTGGGAAATCAAAGTTTACGTTCGCCATTCGCGTTTGTGGGTTCTCGTTTCGTCGCTTTGCAGTTTTTTTTTTTGTTGTCGAAATAAACAGAACTCCCTTGTCAGTTCGGTTTTCATATTTATAGATGTATATAGTACAAAGACTACATGAATATAATTTCACATGTATTTAATTTCATTGTATATTAGAATATTTTTATCTTAGGTGCAATGATTGCTAAACGAAGGGAATATTTTTAATATGATATTGCTAGTGGTGGTCAATTAATGGAAACTACAAGTTTTCAACTTCTAAATAACAGACATATTTATACAAATTTTATATGTTCACGAATAACAGTAGCTGGTTATTAATAATTGGATAAATTGAATTCTTATGTAAAGAAATAATATCATCTAAGGGTGAAGAATTATTAAACATACTATACATATTTTATCCGCAATCCGCGACTTCCTTCGCGCGTAATGACAAAGATGAGCGTTATTTTGCAGACTTGATGTAGTCTGACTCTGCTGGTTTTATTAAATGATAGATTAAACGATAACATATATATAACTATCAAAATGAAATAATTGACACATATATATTATTTATTCCTTGGTGTAAACCCTGAATTATTTTTGCCAAAAGGAACTTAAGTCATTTCCCCAGTTCCGGTAAAAATGACCGTTGTAGCAAAATTAATTCTATTTTGCTTTTACCTCTATGTACATAAAGCTTCATCTTTATCTTTCTATATAATGAAATCTATTAAAAATAGATTTCGAATTAGTAATCAAAAGAAATTTTGTCGTAATATTCAGCACGCATAGCGGCAATAAACTGTGCGAGAATATTTTATTATTATTCTATTGCAAACATCTGAAACATGGACTTTAAAGGACGAATAATTCTCATAGCAATCTCCCCCACTCGACCCGCGTCGTAAGTCTATTATAACAAGACATCCAAAGTGAGTTTAATAATGAAATACATAAGCATCTATTAACCCTTTCACAGAAATGTGAAGTGTAGAATGGTCTCGCTTTAAACCGCCTCGACAAAAGAAGTCGGTCGAGTGAGCGGGGCTGGGGGGGAGGGCTACCGTACGCCCGGAGTCAAATACGATTAAGAGCTCTTTGATTACGCAAATCGCGCTTCTTAAGACGACAGGGGAACGGCTAATTTCATTACACGGCTGGCACGCACCCCGTGCCGTGCCCGTTCGAACACGCCAGCCACTGGAACGACGGTTACGACATAAAATTAATGGTAAAAAGGAACCTTTTATAAACAATATTTTATTTAGTTGCACTAACGGAGGAAAATAAACTTTGAATTGGATTAAACCAATCAATTTATTACACGTATCACACAATTTATTGAATGATATAAAAACTTGTCGCGAGATTTGCATTTTATAGGAGACATTTTATTTTTTGAATTACTTTAATAAATGTATCAAGCAAGACTAGTTAGTACACAGTTAAATACGCAGATGTATACATTGCAAGTAAAATAAAATTATACCATATATTTAAAGAGGGCCCCACTTCTCAGAGAAAATACAAAATTTTTACTGTAGTATTTCTACTACAGTAAAAACGTCAAACCAAACTTACTTCATTAATGTTTTTTCACAAACCGCTCATCTGATATTGAAACGCGAAATTGTAGGTTAATCTTCAACTGAAGCACTCTAATAGTTTACATAATTATCAATGATAAGAAGCCTTTTCGACAAGAAATAATCTTTTGTTTTATGCGAGAAGGTGGCTAGCGGAGCTGGTTCCCCTGATGTTAAGTGATAACCGCCGCCCATTGAAATTTGCAACACCCATAGCGTTGCAGATTTGTTGCCACCTTTGAATAAAGCAATCCCGGCTATTTCACTCACTAAACGAAACGAAGTAATGTAACACATCAGAGAGCCTACTCCTACCTTAAGGCTGGCAATGCAATTATGACTCAATCGATGTTGCAAGTGTCCATGGGCGGCAAGATTTTTTACACAACTATCTTCCTTAAGAGCAAATATATTACATATATCCTAAAAGTCTACGCAGTCATATTATTCGCGGTTCACTCCGAGCTTAAGTATGAAACGCGGCATTTCGTAGCCAACAGACGTAGACCAGTAGATCCATGAGAACTGAGACCGAGTGACATTTCTCGCCAGCCCTAATTCACTTACAATAAACATTTTATTTAAGGGGAGTCCTTTCAATGTTAAATTTACGCTACACTTTATAGAGATACCTCGAAGTTAATTCGATTCCTTTCGCCTTTTGAATCAATCTGTACGCGGCGATTCCAATGTTTTTCTGCGTGAGTGTTGTGTTGTAAGGAATAAAATAATAATATACGAATAAGACACAAAGATGTTTCTATTGATCGGCTGTTATTTCATCTATACTAGGTAAGGTAGGTAATAAGTTGCAATGCTTCTTTAATTTTTTCTATCCAATATGAGACTTAGGTGCGGATAACGAAGCCAAAGTTTTTATCACCACCTTCTTATAAATCGTCATGAATCTTAATGAAACACACCAACTCGTGAGAAAAAAACATTTTAAATTTGACTAAATGATTTGTCATTTTTTCTAGTGGCAAACGAGACGGCGGTTCACCTGATGTTAAATGTTAACCGCCGCCCATGGACATTTGCAACACCCGTTGGGTAAAAGATGCGTTGCCGCCTTTTAATAAAGTGGGCCCTGGCTACCTCACTCACCAGACGAAACGCAGAAGTGTAACACTTCTACTTTACGCCGGTCTATTGAAGTCCGGTCAGGTCATGGTATTTACCCGGATGGACCTGCCCATTCGTGCAACAGAGACCTAGTGTTCAATCGAATCACCGCAATGCTGAACAGTTTGCACAAATTCTGTCTTGCTGTCATTCGATTGAAATCTGTCTGATCCATTTCAGAATGGAGATAGCTGATATAAATTGGGTTAAGAAATTCGTGAATTAGTAAGTTATATCAAAAAAGTTTTTCTTTAAAATAATAATAGGGGAAAAGCTTACATTATCTGTATACAGAAAAAAAATCTAGAAAAACTAGGATGTGACTATTACTAAAAAATTATGAAGAATAATAACGGTAATTATACATTGAAATACTTTTCATAATAAAAAAATGAAACAGTTTTTCGGGCAGTCTTATTGTAAAGTAAATTATTAAATATAAACTTAAATGAGCGAAGGCATTAAAATCCATATTCCCTAATTACCAAAACCCCGTTTATTATTATAAAGAGTCATTCGTCATTTTCCTGAGGGTCGAACGTGGGGGAGAGTTTATTAATTATCCTAAAGATTAATCACTCGGCTCGGGCCGAAGTCAGAGGCGAGCTACATCTCAAATACGTCGACTGTCATTCAAATTATAACATACCGACGGTCTTCAACTTTCTCCAGTAAGCTGACAAGAAGAATTATGATGAAATAATTCAAAAAAATCAAAGCGGTATTTAGGCGTTCTTTAACGATGTAACATCTGCCAGCGCTTCAGCCAATTTCATCCAGGAAAGACGGAACGATGTTAACATTTAGGCTTAATGCTACAACTAATCTACCACTGATTCACAAATATCTAGCAAATAGTGAGAACGGACAAGAAAAATGATTGTAGTCATAGTAAAAAAACAAAATTGCTAAACTTAATCATCGGGGAAAAAAATCCGTCAACAGGACACGCATCTCAACTCATATATTCCTTTTTACTGCCTTTTATAATAACATATAATTCAATTAGTGTAATGAAATATGTAGAGACCAATTAACTGTCACGTTAGTGTAGATAATATGCTAACAGCCAACTCTCGTTTCACTCGTCTTTACTACGCGTAAAGACTTGCTAGCTTTGGTTATGCTTTTAGCCTGAGGTAGGCTCTCACGTAGCTTGACCCTTACATAATAGACCGATTACTAATGATGTTCAGCTATGTTCAGTGACTAATGGCGTAAAAAGTCCGTAAAAGAGAAATTCATTGGTCGAAATCTCTACGGGGACAAATATATGCAATATATTTTGATGAGATGTGTACTTGAATATTTCATAACTAGCGACCCGCCCCGGCTTCGCACGGGTGCAATGTATTATACATATAAACCTTCCTCTTGAATCACTCTATCTAGTAAAAATAAACGCATCAAGATCCGTTGCTTAGTTTTAAAGATCTAAGCATGCATAGGGACAGACAGACAGTGGGATGACTTTGTTTTATACTATGTAGTGTTGAGATTGTAGGAAAATTGATTGTAAACTATGAATAAGTATACTTACTTATTCTTAAGTGAGAAAGTTAAGTTTTATGAAGAACAAATTTATTATCATCAAGCGACATTCCCAGTCATACGTGAGACGTTTCTCGCCGTGGCAGTGGTGTACGAGTTTTATTATAAAGTGTCGGTTGATGGCACATCGGAGGATTTGCCGCGACGACACGCGCGCCAGTGATCCACCCTTTCACAATGCATTACGCTCCGGGAGGCAGCCAATATGCGCAAGTCATACGCTGTAGCGGGTTTTTCGTTCATGTAATAAATAAGTAAAGTTTTAGAGTGTTATCTCCTTTCGAGATGTTGAGACTTACCAGTGATGCAATATAACTCTAACAATACTGTTTTTATTAAGACGACTAATATTTATAAGCTACTAGCGACCCACCCAGGCTTCACACGGGTGCAATGTATTATACTTATAAACCTTCCACTTGAATCACTCTATCTAGTAAAAAAACCCGCAAGTTCCGTTGCGTAGTTTTAAAGAGCTAAGCATACATAGGGACAGACACAGCGGGACGACTTTGTTTTATAATATGTAGTGATTTCCGACTCGAAACATACAGAATTTGCCCTAGAGACTTGCAGTTATTCGCTTATAAATTGATGACCCGCTCCTCTCTAATGCTTTGTACCACAAAACCAAGACACGAGAGCAGCTGTAGTCGAGCAATAAGTCAGAATTTTCCTAATAGTGTTCCGAGTGCGGCAATGAGCGCGAAAGAATTGAAATGCGGTGGGGAGGGGGGGGGGGGGGGGGGGGATTTCCGCCCCAATACCCGCCCAATGGGAAGACGGTATTTACTCTCGGATTATATTATATATTAAAGTTGTCTTGCTCTACTATTATCTTCAATCCTATATTAACTTAGCAGGACGTCGCAACACGAATTTATTTGAAAAGGTTTTTTGAATCTCGTTTTGATTTGGTTCACGCAAGAGTTTTG